TATACAAAATGGAAATGCTATGGATCGGAAGAACTGTTTTTGATTGCGAGTTAAAATGACTCCGACTGCAAAGGGTTAAGTATCGCCAGTCAACATAATAAAGAAACGTACGAATACGTTCGTTATCAGCACTCCGTCAACAGTCATCGAAGTTATAACATTCCATTAAACGCTGTATTAACATAATACAACAATTTACGAAACGTATCGAACCACGTTGTGTTCCCCGTTATCGTTTTCGTACTCCGAAAAATTGATTAGCAAAGTTCCAGCGGGGAATAAAAACAATTCTCTTTCGACGAAAACAATCGAAAGACTTTTTCGCCGCAGGCTACCTTCCGTGTTCTTCCCCGAACAGTAGCACGATAATATAATAATTGACAGGCCTGTTTGCCGATTCGTCTATGGACACGAGACAAACATTTAATTAAAATCGAACGTACCCGAGGGTCATACGTCAAGCTACGGACCAAACAGAATCCGTTTCCGTTCCGTGGCAAGGGAGGTCAAGCGAATATCCCGCGGCGTTCGCAGGTATTGTTCCATTCGTTCCTTTCTCTTTTTTTTCGAACGTTTGTTAGCGAACAAATTTAATAACTATCGCCACGGTGCCGTTGCGCCGAATAATGGGCGTAGGTAGACAGAAGAGAAGTAACGAAAACAGTTCGAGTCTTATCATGTTTTGGTTCTTCGGAAACAATAGAAATCCGACCGTAAGGTATTCCACACTTTAACAGATTTTGTTAAGAACTCTTTTTATCGCAGCTACGCGTACAATCCTTTGTTCTAAGAGTTCCTTGATTCATTCTATAACTGTATCATTTATGAAGCAAAACAAATGTGAAGCAGCCTAAATGTAAGAAGATGAAAATTCTCTGATTTTCGTATTTCATTTAACGGAAACTAGAATTACAGAACAATTTCTTCTGTTAACTCATCGTTAAAAAAATGATTAACTGTTTTATTCGGACCATTTAAGCAGTTAGCAATATTTTGGAATGTGTATTTGTGACTATTATAATACAGAATTAAGTTGTAACGAAATGGCCGTTTTATTGTTTAATTTGAACACTAACTATCTTTTTACATCACTTAATCAGTTAGTTATTTTATATCATATTTTTTGTCGACATTTCTTCTCGTCGAAAACAGCTGAATGGTTAACTAATATTTTAAGCATTGTTAAAATAGCTTGTTAAGCTATATAGCTTGAAAGTAAAAACGACATAGACCTTATCAATTTCTACTCATTAAAATGGTGAAAAGTATCAATGTGGAAAGGCAGCAGCGACTCGGCGTTACGTTCGACAATGTTGTCGTCAATATTGAAAATATTTCTATCCGCCGCTAGTTTGCATGCTCTTGCTTTCCAGCGATGCCCGGCTATTCCTTACAGGAATATGCCTTCAAAGCTTTGCGCTCAAACATAAAGAGAACAACAGGTATAAATGCGGATCCATAAAGGAGATTTTCCTTCCTCTTTCTCATTCACAATGCCGTCCCCCGAAGAAGAAACGGCGCGCCGCGTCGATCCCATTTCAAAGAGCGCCAGATGCCTCCCTTTAAAACTTCTCTTTTAATCCGGCTAATAAAGTTAGGACACGAGACGCGGGGAATTTCCGCGGAAAGGAAACGACGGCGTTAATCAAAATATCGTTGAAACCGGAGGGCTGCCCGCATTGGAAACGGAAGTGTCGCGCGCACACGCGCGTACGGATAGTTTTTCGCGGCCCTTTTTTCCACGTCGGATCCCGGGAGACGACGAGTGGCGTTCTCGCGCGCGAACGGAAACTCATTATTCGCCGATATGATATTTACAAATTTCTTTGGAGCACCGTTGAATATTTATGAGCGTGCTGCTTCCCGATAACAGCGTCAGATGTTGCGGACGCTGATTCCGCTGGCTCCGTGTCGAACAAGGCCACTGTCGAACCATTGTTCGCGTCTCGTCCGAATTCGCCGGCTTTGCCCGAATATTTCATTCCGCGTTGTGTTCTTTTGACAAAAATGCAGATGCAACGTTCTCCGTTCGAAAGGAAAAAGCATTGTGAACGGGATTCGTTCGACGTCGATGTTTATGCTTTCCCAGCATACTTGTCTAGGCAAACCACGATAACGCAATTTCTCGGTCGTTTTTATACGTTTTTATACGCTCCGACCGCGCGGAATTTCTTTAGAAAAATGCACTGATATTCTCGTACGATCTGCGAAAATGTAGGGCGATTCGTTCGATCAACGTACAATAACAGAAGGGGCACCTTTTTTTAATTATGCGACATTCTGTAGATTCGATGAAAGAGGAAGCGATGTGTTTTCTTTCGCTCGCAAAATTGATGCGAGTTTATTGCCAAATCTTTATGTTACATGTTTCTTCATTGATTGTAATAGATACATATGCTTCATGTTATAAAAATAAAAGTCTTAGGTCAAATTTCCCAAAAATAGCAGAATAATGTACTTTGAAACCTTAAAATAGCGTTGAAATTTATGGAAAAAGAAATCGGATAAGATCATCAAAATAAAAGCACTTCAACTAACTAACTTCATTAACTATCTGTATATTCAAAATTGTAGTAAAGTTTTGTACAATGGAGTCTTTTTTCATAAATTTAGCATGATAAGCTAACCAGTAACTAGAAAAAGAAATTAGTCACTAATAACAATGATACGGGAACACGTTCAGAGAACTTGTCAAAAATGGAATTTCTACCGTCAAAAATAAAATGAATCGCGTCTTGCTGTCTATCCTCGATACGATAACGATTTGTGTCAGGTGCACGTGCGTACGCATGTGTTCCTTAGGAAAAAGTGGATGGCACGAAACGATCGAAAGTAGGTGAACAACTTCACGGATTGATAAAGTACAGCGATTCTCCGCGGAACAATGTCAGCCGGCTTGATATTTCGAAACCTACAAGCAAACAACTTTGTTCTTCGCCGGACTTTATCTTCTTTTGAATTGTACAAACTTCTTGCCGTTATTACCGCCGGCAAAATGTGTTGCAACTTTTAAAAACGGTGCCGCAACAAACACAAAAAGACCGACGACGAGTCAACTTGAACCTTGAGTTTCCGTTCTAGGTTCTACAACTTAAGTCCGTGCAAGGTACGTCATAACATTTCTTGTATTTCCTTCGGTTGTTCCTTGAGAATACTTCTTGCCGAAAGTTCTTCTTTTAACACACAAGTGAAATACACAGTGTCCAGGTATAACGTGCAAAACCGGGCGAATCTACGTGGTAAATAAGTTCTAAATTTTAGCAGGTTTCGTTTATATGTGAATTGCTTTTTGTGTGCGAGACCACGTGACATTGATTTATATATATGCGACAATCGAGCTTTGAAATTTCTATTATTTTATTAAATCCTTGCCACCCTTTAATGAGAACATAGATGAGATCTCATCTTATGAGATAATAATAATAATGTTTGTGATACAATATTATATATATATATAATAAAATGCAATTATAATAATCGTATCGTTTAGACGAAAGAAACTGGTACACCCTATATATTAATAAACGTTTTACTCTCTTGAATGTAAAAAGTTCCCGAATGTTACGAAAATACTTCCAAACCGCTCGTATCAACCGAACTGCGAAACTTGTTCCCAGGTTTCCTCGAAAATATGAATTTCCTACTCATGTTCATTAGCGTCTTTCGCCATTCATTTGACAAGCGCTGGCAACGTTTACGTAAGCTGTGCAGTTGCGCTGTAAATGATACCAGAGTATTGAAAACGGCAAATGAAACAGTCTGCAGACTTCATGCGCCCGTTAATTGCACTTTCCACACACCTGTTCCGCGCTCTAGTAACCAATAAGTGGTCCTCATCGATTTTAATACATTCGAACTCGAATCCGAAAACTGTTTTCCCATTACTCTCGGTTGTTGAGAAATTTAATTGCAAAGGTCAGTTATCACTTTTGCCAATCGTTTGCGCTTTAGCCGCGGCAGCTTCGCGAGTGTTTCTTGCACAAAACGATTTCATAGACTTCTCCCGGATAGAATATCGTTTTTATAGCATCGTCAAACGCTGTCGAATATTTTCTATTGTACGCTATCGGATAAATAAACAAATCTTTGACGCATTAACCCCTTCTTCTTTAATATTCAACTCATTATGAAAATTCGTAACGCGATCTACTAAATATAGCTGTTCCCAGCATCTTTTAAATCGAAATAAAACACTACCTTTCTATTATCAGGCTTAAATATGGATGTTTTATTTCTTCTTTTTGTAAGTCGAATCAGAATTCTGTTCTCCAAATGCAGATACGTAATAAATATGAAGTTCTATTTTTCTTTTATGAAGTTCTTACGATCGAAACAGTTCTGATATGAATCGTAAAAGTTCTAAAACGTAAAGCACCGATAATCAAACTCAAAAAATCCTTACAAAACCGAAGTAATTCAATGAACGAAACTGAAACTAGAATCTTAAAGTTTTTATCATAATGAATAATATATTTAAACTCTTTTGCATTCTAAACGTCCTAGGAAAATTCTCTTAGTTTGAATGTATTACAAGAAAAATGAACATTAATGAAAGCTAGCCAAACGTTAGTGTCACCTACAGTGACCCGCATCAATATTCGGACGCCTTTTAAAACGGAGTAACTTTTTCGAAAGTGAACGAAATTGCTTGTACTTTTTTTAGATGTTAGAGAGTAGTTAACTAGACTAGTGCGATAATGATTGTAGCTCTCAAGTAACGAAAACGGTGGTTTTATCACTTAAAGAGAAAGCTGTCGATATACTTCGATCGCTGGCATCGCTGGAATCAATGTCCCCGGCTCCCCATCCTTCGGACGGCAAGGTGCAAAATCAACCAATTCCCAGCACACTTTTTTTTGTAGGACGGTGTCATTTCGCAAAGCCGGACAAGTACGCTTCAGCGGCGGTATGAATTTTCAATTAAATCGGAGCATCGTGCGTCGAGCTGGAAACGTGTTATCTTTTCCGCGGGAACGCGAAGTGGATTTTAATGCACTCACCAGTCAATTGGAGCCTCCCGGCGTTGCTGCTGACGACCGTTTCCTGCGTCAGACGATGATGCGTCCTGCACCGATAAGTCTGTTTCGCGTCCTCCCGCGTGATATTCAGTATCATCAGCTCGCCGCTCGATAGCATGTGGTACTTGCCATCTGAGAACAGACACATCGGATTTCAATCTCACCGAAACGATCATCCACCATTCTTCGATCTCGCTTCTGTCTCGGAAAAGTCGATTCTCCCCGAAATCCGCAAATCAAATATCATCGATAGCCTACTCATTGTTTCCGTAATCATCATTTCAATCAGACAATCTCTTTGACTCACAAATCCTTCTGCAATTACAATCGTATAATCGATAATTTATCATTTGTGCATCGTAACGAGATTGAAAACATTCGATAACGTCAAATAACATCGTGCCAGAATCGTGATCAAGATTTCGAACGAGATCTATATTATATTTAGACATTATTCGTTTTATTTAAATCGAAATAAGATTGAATTTGTCTGTTATTAGTGTTTGATAAATAGAGTTCATGCAGGCTCGCAATAAATACAGTAAATGATGCTCAGATTGTCCACAAAAATTTAGGACAATTTAGGAAGGGAAGATACGATTATTCGATCCTTGCGGTTCATTTTTATAGTTACGAATTGTCAATAACTATAAAAACGAGCTGAAAAGCTCGAATAATCGTATCTCCTCTTCCCAAATTCTCCACTTTTGTGCACAATTTGAGCGTCAGTTAGGGAGACATTATTGTACAAGTTTCCTTACGCTTGTTAGAATTTGTTAACGATTGCAGTGTTTAAAAAAATTACCGCGTCCCTCCGATGGCTGAGAAAATGCAACGAAGTATAGTAATATCTCCCAGAAATGTTCGGAAGTCGCAATTGAAACCGGCAAATCTGAGAATACTAAATCGCGATTTTTCGGACCTCGCGGCTCGGTTTTATAGAAACTCGGGGCAATCGGCAAAAAAATCAGCGGCCAGCATGCATTAATATGAATACATAGTGATGGTGGAATAAAAAATATGACTTAACTTTTCTATTTTTAATTTTTTGCCACGATTCGAAGGCAATTCGGAGGCCACGTGACACGATTCGAAGGCAATTCGAAGGCAATGATACTTAAATATTGATAAGAGAAATGTATTCAATTATTTTATTCTAATCCTAAATATTTGATGACTGTACCCTGGACTTCGTTGTCTAATCCTGGTTTAAATCGTGTTCAATGGGTTCTATCTCACTGCGATCGATTTTAAGTAATTCGATACCTTCGAATCGGTTGGCTGCCTCCACGACAATTAACGTGTTTGTATCAATTTAGTTGGTTCTCCGCGGAGAGAAGAACCGGCCGAAGTAAACTACGATAATAAATTCTGGAGAGCCCCGTTGAATTGAACCGGGCTTGCTCTTTCGTTCGGTCCCAGTTTGTTCAACTTCGCGGCACGCAATGGCAAAAGTTTCGCCGACTATTGATCGTCTTCCTCCAATCGACGAGTATATTAACAAATCCGTCTGGATTATTAGTGGGCACATTCAAACCGGCTCCGCATACCTTAATCGAACTCCCCTATAATTAATGAAGTTTACCTCGTTAACGGTTTCAGGGGGAAACTTTGCGCGTTCCCGCCGGTGGAAGGAGACCACAATACGTCGTTCGGCGAACCGTCGTGCGTTTCTTTTTTATCCTTCACGCTTTCGAATCGGATGCAACAGCGACGAAATCACTTCTTGTCGAATTACACACGAGCGTCCATATTTTCTCGGATCGCGAGTTCTCGAATGAAATTTCCGATCAGACGATTCGAACGAATCGCGTTCCCATTCGAAATTCGAGGACGGGCTGTAAACAGCGAATTGTTTTTCGGGTGTTTCGTTTCCCGTGCCTCGATTGTTCGTTGCATCCAACATAATTAAAGGGGAATGTTTTTGAAACACGAAGCTACTATAGGAATACGCGGGAAAATGTTCGCATTCCGTTTTACATGTAAAGTATCGACGTTTATGCAAATTACAAATTTTTGCAGCGGAAAGTGAAGAGACCGGGGCGAAATAAAATTGTATTTCTTCCGGTAACACGTTGTTATGTTTCATTGAAGTTTGTATTTTATTAACCCTTTGGTCTTGCGGAGGTCTACGGTCGAACCCGTGATGAGAATTTCAAACAGAATTTTTTAAAATATGAATGTTATTCAATGGCTTCGAATACGATGAGAATTTCACCGTGTTTTTCTTTCCTCTCTACGAAATTATTAACAACAAAGTCCTTTCAGCGAGCTTTTAGTTAAAGGCGTACCGTGAATTTTGCAATAATAAAAGATCTCTGCCTCTGTGTGACACCAAACAGTAAAAATGAATCGTACATTCGGGAGCTCGTTGTAAAGGGGAAACTGTTCTCTTCGAATCTATGACAGATCCAATCGCTATATATGATTGTTTTATTTCTAGAAATGTTTCAATGAACAGATATTTAAAATGAGTCACGGCATACTGTTGTATGATGCCTTTTTACGAAGTTATAACAGATTAAACATTTTAGTCAGTGTAATAATTCTAACGAGATTAAACTTTTGCTGTCGACTCAACCGTTATAATATATTATTTAAAGAAATATAGATATAATAAGTTATATATAATAGACTCTGAAATTGATCTACCCAATGTCTCTCTCGTTTTAAACAAAAACCGCCACACATTCCAAGTCGATGTTAAAGGAATAGATTATTCTCTCTAGCACCGACAATCTTAAAAATTCCATACATCGACCGGACACCTTTCATTTCCAAATGATTGCAACCATGAAGACTCTTTCTTAAAAAACCATTGAATAAATTTCTTTGCACAAGCCTAATTGTATCTCCTTTTCCCTAATTGTCCGTTTTTTTTACAAGCTGAAGGACAATTGGAGATAATTTACTGTAGATGGCCTTCGAATCGTGTCATGTGGCCTCTGAATTGACTTCGAATCGCGTTACGTGGCCTCTGAATTGCCTTCGAATTGTGACATATGGCCTGCGAATGGCCTGCGAATTGCCTTCGAATTGTGACATAAGGCCTGCGAATTGCCTTCGAATCGTGGCAAAAAATTAGAAATAAAAAAGTTGAGTCATCATTTTTATTCTAGCATTACTATATTATTCATATTAATTAATCGACATGCTAGCCGTTGCACTTTTTGCCGACTACCCCGCGTTTCGTCATCTCGATCTCTCGCTCTCTCTCTCTATCTCGATCTCTAGCTCTCTCTCTATCTCTCTCTCTCGCGCTCTCTCTCTCTCTCTCTATCTCTCGCTCTCGCTCTCGCTCTCTTCTCTCACGAGGCATCGGCAACCATAAAAACCAGCCGCGAGGCTCGAAGAATCGTATCCGAGTGTCCGCCGATTACAGTTTTCAATAGAATAAAAAATCAATTAAATTCAATAAATTCAATCAATTCAATCAATTCAATTAAATCCAAATTCGCATCCGATTTACCGATGCTCTGACAGAGCTGACTTCTGCTGAACAAGATCGGCGATTCGCAGACACAGCGACGGTCGCCACGGGACGTAGCGCATAATCTATGCACGACGTATCTCGGCCTCGTTCGGCTTCGTTCAATTTACGTGGGCGAATCAGGATCGCAACGATCCTCTCATCGCCGAGTGGCGGGTATTCATTGTGGGATCAATTATGAATGAAAGTTTCCCGGCCAGACCATTTACCGGCAACGCTCCGAGGGGAGTAGAAGGGTGGCGGGCGGGTGAGCAAGGTGGTGGGTATAGCGATGGACGGTAAATAAATCCAGAGAGTTAGTAACGAGGAGGAGGGAGGATGGGGTGGGTCGGTGGTGCAGGAAATCGTGACGGAACTGCTCCTTGGCGTTCCTTTGCCGGCTCATTCGTATTTATGAGCGGTCGTGGTCTCCCGGCGACGGTCGCGGGCTTGTCATTAAGCGATATCCGAGGCTCACTCACCTCCCATCGTGGACGGATAGATGTTGAACGACGGCTCCTGAAGCCAAGACGTAATGGTGACGTGGTCGCGAACGAAACTGGGAACGTTGCATCGCATAAGTACGTTGTTGCCGAGGAAACCGCCGGGACATTGCACTTCCGGATCGTAACGCTGGTTCACCACTGCAACACACAAACAAAGGGGCCGCTCGAATGCGAGGCTAAAGTACAACCAACCCCAGTTCCCCTAACGTTCCCCGCCCCTCTCAATCCCTCGGTCGGCAAAAGCCAGGCCAGACTCGGATTCGACGGTCCAGAAAAAAACTCGAGTTCGCCCGGCGAGAACAAACTCGGAAAATTTCGTATGCTAATGACGGCTGTGGGAAACTCGTTTTTCTCGTTTTCGGTAACCTCTGGTATATCCCACCCTCGTACCTCCCCGCCGCCCGACCCGTCGGTGCCGCGCCGACACTCCAGACGGGGCCGACGACCACGGTCGGACCCGACGAAAATTATGACAAGCAGAAACGATCGGCTATCGGGGTCGCGGAAATTTCAATGGAGTTCGGGTCCGCGGGACAGATTTATATATCGGCGTCCTGTTTGCCGTTTAATTGCCGGCCGTTTTGTTTCGACATTATTCAGGCCAGCGCGATACACGCAACGTTAATAACCCAACTTGGATGAACGTAATGACGTTAAACCACGGCTTCGTTAACCGAGGGGTTCACGGGTTCGCGGCTTCGCGCTCCGATACGCGGAATTCACGAGGTATCAATTAAAGCCTCGCCAGCTAATGCCCAATTTCGCGATATCATTCCCGGAATGCCCGCGAAATTTCGATAAAATCCCGCTGTGTCGCGTGGCGGGCTCGTGCACGCGGAACACACGACGATCTTCGGGGAACGCGTGACACGAGAAATAGGACGTTTTATTGATCCACGGTCGGACCGCTGCAATCCACATACAAATTTAACGAAGGAAACCGAATTATTTCGGGCAGTCGATACACCGTGTTCTACGGTTTCCAAGGTATTTGGGAGCCGGCTATCCGCTAAGGATCCGCCGGCTTTGGATAAGCTTGTTCGGACCGACTGAAACCAAGGTCGATGCGCCGGCTAGTAAATAGAAAATTCATTAATTCATTTTTTTCAAAGATCATTGCGTCGTGTCGCCTATTTTATTCGTATCGTTTGCAAGTGATTAAATCGTTATTTTATTTATAGTACATATTTATTATTTTATTTGTAGTAAATATTTATTATTTATTTGGTAAATATTTTTTACTTATTTAGCAAATTATTTTTTACTTATTTAGCAAATTATTTGTACTAAATAATTCGTGTAGTTTTTTCAAACATCTTGACAACTCCTATGAAGTCGTTGCTGTTGCTGTGTGGACTGCGGATTTTATGAATTTGCAACTAAAATTAACTCGTCGGGTTATTTACACCGGCACGTTGCGCCGACTCTAACAAATGTTGGAACTTCATTACCAGACTGCGGAGAAATTTAAGAATTTCCCTAGATTCCCCCCGCAATTTGTCAGAATTATTAACGAAAGGAACTAAGGTAACTTTGATGCGGTTTACTCGAAATGTTGTTACATTTCATTAGTTTTCAAGATCCGCAGTCTATTTATTTCGCAGAGTCAGATTATTATTATTATTATTATTATTATTATTATTATTATTATTATTATTATTATTCTTTGGTGTCATAAGTCACCATCAAATTATGGCAACAATTGTGCAACAACGATCTTATCCAGAGAAATGGACAACCGAGCAACCTCTACGAAGGATTAAAACATGAAATTTAACCATAAAGATTTTTCAAAGATAATATTTTTTAACGTGTCAATTTTTCTGTTACTACGAGTACACTGACCATTAGTTTTACCATTGCAATTACAGTTTTTATGGGACGAATTTGTAGATATTTTAGAACAACTTTGCGACTTAGAACAACTTTGTAAGAACTTGCTGAGAAAAACTGCACAAAGTCGGACTTAAAAATCGATCTACACAGCTAAAAAATCAATAGAAGAGATTCGATTACTGTTTCAGATAATTTTCATCTAGCATAAAAATCCGCAGTGCAGCAGTACGCAGACAATTGATTCGCGCGAGTTTCGGATAGCATACAATGGTAATAAATCAATTGTTACGTATCATGATTGTGTTCAATAATAACCAGCGAATGAGAATTCGTTTATTATAACATAGTTGCAACTAGTTACTATCTAGCCCTAAATGAACGTCCATGCTAGCATTACCACAGCATTATTGTTAGTTCTGTTCATTATATGCTGATATTGTACTATTTCTACTGTGACGATTTGATCACGGTTATGTGATTATTAAACGCTTCGTTAATTTCTATAGTGCGTCAGATATAATTCTATGATTTCCCGAAATTGATAAGTTTAATACAGTTGTTACAGGATAATGTACTATAGGTGCGAATACAAATCGCAGCAAATGGCGTTAAAAAGTTAATATTTAACTTTAACATTTAAATACTTAATATTCAATTTTAATATTATATTTAACTACAACAATATATAACTTTATTAATATTTATTTTACGAGCGACCCTCGGTTTCCAAAAGATTGAATCGCGAAGTGCAACGCTTTTCCATAGTTCATTGATTTATTTCTTCCATATTAATTTTTCGAATTATTATATTTTTAATACAAAATTACTCGACCGAGGAATACTTCGAATAAAAAATTGCTCGAATAAAGAATTATCCGAACAAATGGATAAAATAATCTCCGACGAGTAATGAGTTATTCGAATAAAATATCCGAGCGGAAACAATCCGAACAGTGCCGTACTCCGGTTCACGGCAGCGTTGCTCGCGCAAAGCGCGCGCGCGCGCGGCGCCTGTGCAGTGTAAATAAATCGGTGGTTTTTAATCCGCGACCGGCTTAATCCTCGAATCCGTTCCTGGCGTCAGTCTGCGCGACTTAATTGTCTCTCCGCCGGAAGGTCGGTAAGGACACGGGCGAAGGCGAGAAAAAAGTCGTCAAGTGGCGGGGCGAGGGTGTAAAGCAAAATGGAGGGCGCCGCCGCGAGACCATGGGATTAAATTCAGCCGGGCAGAGCTTTGTGTAACTACGACTGCGGGAGGTGTTCGCACCGCCTCCGACGAGATCGACTGCGGCGCTTATCGGTCGAAAGGTCTCTCGACCTTTATCTTATTTATTCGCTCGATCCTAGGTCGAATCGAATCGAATACGGAACGGGGACGGCGTTAATTAAAAAAAGCGTCTCGATAACTCGGCTTCTCGGCCGGCGAACGGCCGCAGCTTGAAAAGGACTTGGAAATCGGCGGCGAGGGGAAACAAAATAGATAACGCGACCGCGAAGTATTTACAAGGCGGGAGAGCCACGGTAATTGCCGAACACAGGCGCGTACGAAGCCCGGAACACGGACCGCTGCGGGAAGGAAATCCACACGGATGTTCTCGGTTTTGCGGAGGATTTTTGAAACGCGGGGAAATGTTGCTACCTCTCGGCGCCCTCCCGAAAAATAAACATGCGGCGAGTGTCGTACCTTTTCGAGCTGATTTTAAAGCGGGAAACGTCGATTTTCGCTTATTTGCTCGGTGACTGTGCTACCGTCAACGGAAACGCTTCGACGACGTTCCGTCGAAAATTCGGAGCTTGTAGAAGTTGACTTCCGTGAATGTCGAGAGAAAATGCGGATAAAATTGCTAAATTAGTAACGCGGATGCCGAAATTTCTCTGCATTGTTTGCAATCAAAGTTATTGTTTGTATTTAAATCGTGCAAGTTTTGTTGTTTACCCCTTGCTGTGCTTTGACGAGTCCGACTCGTGATGCAGATTTAAATAATCTGAACAATATTCTATTAGTTTAGGTCAGAATAAAATTCTGTTCTCTCGACGCCGATGTTTGAGCATTCGAGTAAACGTAGGCACACAGTTATTATAAATTTTCTTTTTCCTTTTTCGAACAAATTATTCCTACGATCGATAAAATTCTGTTGTAATTGTAAAGGTAATGGTACAGGCAGGAGTTAAATAATTTCAAAGCACTTCAAGTTGCAGCAAGCTTGAATCATTCTATTACCTACAAACATCAACAATCTATTAATTATGAATAGATTTATGGGCAATAATTGAGCAAGTAAATTATTCAATAAGTAATTTCAAATTATAATTTCGCACTAAAGAACAATATTTGCTTCACTGAACGCTTCAAGTCTGAATAATTACATTAAGTATAAATATTAACAATCTATTTTAATTATGAGTAGACTGTGGTCCTTTATGCATTTATAACACGTGCAGATTGTTTACATTCAAAAAGACATAAATT